GCTGATGTCTAGCCTGAATCTACTCTCCATCAACTTGTGGCCGTTATTTCTTGTTACCCCTGGCAGTGCTTGGGGGAACAGAGACTCTTCCATTCCCCGCAGGTCCCCCCGGTAAGTTTATAGACGGCCACCAGGTCCCCTCTCAGCCTTCTCTTGTGGAGACTGAACAGGTTCAGGTCCCGTAGCCTCTCCTCGTAGGGCCTGCCCTGCTGCCCCCTGATCATGCGGGTGGCCTTCCTTTGGACCCTCTCCATGCTGGCCACATCCCTCCTGAAGTGCGGTGCCCAGAACTGGGCGCAGTACTCCAGCTGTGGCCTGACCAGTGTCGCATAGAGGGGGAGGATCACCTCCCTGGACCTGCTCGAGATGCATCTGTAGATGCATGACAAGGTGCGGTTGGCCTTCCTGACCGTGTCCCCACACTGGCGGCCCATGCTCATCCTGGAGTCAATAGTGACTCCAAGATCCTTTTCTGCCTCTGCGCTGACGAGAAGGGAGTTCCCCAGTCTGTAGGTGTGCTGCTGGCTCTTCCTCCCCAGGTGCAGCACCTTGCACTTGTCAGTGTTGAAACCCATCCTGTTCTCATCTGCCCACCCCTGTAACCTGTCCAGGTCTGATTGCAGCCTGTCCCTCTCCTCTAGTGTGCCCACTTCTCCCCACGTCTTAGTGTCATCTGTGAATTTGATCAAGGTGCTTTTCACCCCCTTGTCCAAGTCGCTGATGAAGATGTTAAACAGTGCAGGCCCAAGGACCGAGCCCTGGGGTACCCACTGCCCACATCCCTCCAGGTCAAAAATGACCCATCCACCACCACTCTGGGTGCGGCCCTCCAGCCAATTTGCAACCCATCTGACTGTAAGCATCAACACCACAGTCGCCTGATTTTTTTTTTTTTTAATGACTCAGGAAGTCATCTATTCTAACCCTGTGCTCAGAGCAGGACCAGCCCCAACTAGATCATTCCAGCCAAGGCTTTGTCAATTAATTTTCTTGTAGAATTAATTTTCTTTGACTTGAACTCCGTTGAATTCTCCAGCTACAACAGGGAAAATGCCTTTAATCTGTATTCTGTAACTTGCAGACTGCCTGCAGCCCATGGAAAAGGCATGGTCCTTTGCCCAAACACAACATGAATATAAAGCCAAAGAATTACAGAAAAGCATCTAATGACGCATACAGTCCAGCCTTCGGTCTGAAGGGAACTCCAGCCCAGCCCGGAAGTACAGACTGTCAGGGTGTATTTCCATGTAAAGAGTGTGAAAGGTATTGGTTTATTATTTATCCTAGTATATTCAATGATTTTTTTTTTTACATAACTGCTCAGTTCAGTTTGTTTGCATTTTAAAATAAAGGAGTACATCTTCCTAAAAGATAACATTTTAAACATGAAGTTTTAAAGGTACTTGGTTTCAGGTATGATGGAGCTGGACTGTTCTCAGCGGGGGCAGATGACAGAACAGGGAGCAATGGGCTCCAGTTGCAGCAAGGGAAGTTGAGGAAAGGCAAATTTTAGGAAAAACTTTCTCACTAGAGGGGTGGTGAAGCACTGGGAATGGGTTACCAGAGAGGTGGTGGAGGCTGGTCCTGCTTGGAGCAGGGGGTTAGACTAGATGTGACTTCTGGAGGTCCCTTCAACTCTCATTTTCTGTGATTCTCTGATGCCTGACCCTCACTGAGCCTTCTTGTAGAGGCCATGTGACTTTACAGCCACAAATAGAATCATAGAAAACGAGGGTTGAAGGGATCTCGGGTCACATCTAGTGCAACTCCCTGCTCCAAGCACGACCAGCCCCAACTACATCATCCCAGACAAGGCTTTGTCTAGCTGGGCTTTGAAACCCTCCAAGGATGGAGCTTCCGCTACATCTCTGGGTAGCCTATTCCAGTGTTTTACTACCATCCTAGTGAGAATTTTTCCTAATATCCAACCTAAACCTCCCTTGCTGCAGCTTGAGCCCATTGCTCCTTGTTCTGTCGTCTGCCCCCACTGAGAACAGTCCAGCTCCATAACTTTTTTTTTTTTTTTAAACTGTTTCTTCTCTCTTGGGGAAACTGGCCAAATGAACCAGGCTCCAGGCATAGTGCTGTTGAATTCACAAAGGAAATGTGTAAAAATAGGGGAAAATATTCTCCAGCCTGCTAAGGAAATGTCAGGTGTGGTGCCTGGAAATGATAGAAGGCAAAATGACCTGGGATAAAAATGCAATCCGTTTAGAAGCTGAGCGTGACCCTTGAAAACATTGAACCCCAGAGGTGTCGATGCCTGCACATCTGCAGACTTAGCCCCTGAGAAGCATGGGGATGTATAGCGTCCAGCTACACAAACTACCATTGATATCATTGGAGAATCAATGGGAGAACAGTGACTGCCCCTACGGCTATTGCCAAGTCACCCGTGTTCCTCTTCCTTTCACTGTAGGTGTAATGCTTGTAACTTCTCATTTCAAAACCAGTGCTTCATTTAGCCTGGTCTCCCCAAGACGCCTAGTTTCTGCTGAGGAGAGGTGATAACAGGAGAAGAAAGGGAGGGAAGGTATCGCAACTTAGGCTGGAAAAGCCTCTGGAAAGCTGTGTCAGAGGAGAACAGGAGTCCAAACTAACAGGTCCTCGTTTTCTAACTTCTAGGGTGTTTGACAAGGTAAAAAGTCGAAATGCTCACATGAAGCGGCACCGACCGCAGGAGCACGTGGAGCCACTGGTAAAGAGTAAGTGGTCCATAAAACAAGTCAGAAACGAGCCAGAGCTGGAGGAGACTCAGGTGCTGACCTCCTCCAACGGTAACTGGGAAATCGTGGTTGCTGAGTAGCGGTGAAGGCAGCCTGACTTCTGCTGGAAAAGTGTGTAAGCATTTTTAGCCCCTGAACAGGTGTTTTTCCTACATATTCCATCATGTGTGACATGCTGAGTCTTGAGCAGGGTTGAGTGACGTGACCGTGCTGTCAGGTCAGTCGCACAGATGTAGCTGCACTGATGCTGAAAAACACTCAAAACTTTTGCTAGGGCAGGAGCACCTGGTGAGGCTGCAGAGGCAAACTTCTCAGTCCCTGCAAAGAAACCCCTTCCCCCCCATACCTTATGGAAGGAGACCTGTATTGTTTTCTGTACAACGGAGTGCAAAAGCCTGCCTGGATATTTTCAGCACTTCGCACTAACATAATATTGTTTGCCTTGAGTTTGAGTTTAAAAAAACCAAAAAACAAAACAAAACATGAAGGCATTGAACGTTCTTTACTTACTTAGATCAACACTGCAACGATGCGTGTTAAATTAAGTATGCGTGCCTGGCATTAAACTACAATTATGCATGATTGAGAAAAAAAAAAAGTTGTTAATGACTGTAAGATAGCTGTTACACCAATACCAGAGGCTCTTAACTTCTGATTTTGTTCATTTGGTGGTGAGTGGGGGGAGCCTTTCTGCTCCATTTACAAGTAAAAGTTGGATGTGGATACCCCTCATGTCTTACCATCAGTTTTAGGGTTTGGTTGTTGTTTGTTTGAAAAAGAACGCCCCCACCAAGGACAGAATAGGAAAATCAATGAGAAATTGCCATTGTATTTAATATATATAATTTTTTCCATAACGTGACGGTCACTTCTTGGATTTCAGTTTTAGTGTGTAGTGCTGTGACGATCTGTGGATTGTTATTTTGTATGTGCTTGCTTCATAGTTCTATTAAACTGAGTTTGTGAACTATGATTGTGAAAGTTCTTGTTCTCCGTTTACTGATTACTGCGGGGGGAGAAAAAACAAACCCAAAAGCAAAACTAGTTATACTAGTTCTGTTCAAACTGATTCTGTTAAATCTTTCTCCCTTAAGAGAGACCTGTCAGGCCAGGCCTCTCTGGGTCTGCTATTTGGTTCCTTGTAAACCAGTACAGCCTGTTCAACAGCCAGGTTGTCGGTGAGTAAACCGGCACTCCCACCTGGGCTATCCTGGGTGAGGACGGCGTGTGGATGCCCAGCAGGAATAAAAGCAAGACCTGTCAAAGGGTGGATGAGTTCCCTGCAGGGAACTCAGGTGAGGAGCTGGGCACCACCGGGTCACTTTGCGTGAAGAATCATGAGTGATGCACAACATCTAAGTGCCCCGACCGTCACATCGGCCTTGGGACTGACTGCACCATTTAAGAGAGAACATATTAAAACCGGTTCTATAAAAACGGAGCCGTTGCTGTGAAAGTTGTTGTTCTTTTACTGATTATTGGGAGGGGAGGAAAGCAAAACTGGTTATACCAGGCTGGTGGGCCGAAGCAACGTGTGTTGCAGGAACATGAGGATTTTGGAAGAACTACTGTAATCATATTATGTGTCTCAATATAAGCTGAGCCAGTTCCTTGCAGTCATGGGGTGGGCGAGTTATAAAGGTAAGTGCTGATTATGTCTGTCGCTGCTTGGATCGGAAAGCAGTTTACTAAATTATGACAAGCCGGGAGAGCTGAAACCAGGCAAGGGAGAGACTACCCTCAACCAGTTAGAATTTAATGAGATGTTAGCTTCATTCAGCTCACCGTACGCTAACCTTGAAACAACAGAATTTCATGCAGCCAGCAAGTCCTATGGGGATGGCAAATCTAATAGGTTCTGTTGCATGGAGAGCACAGGAGAAATTCTCTCAAGTCGTGCCTCCAGCTTGAAGCCCGTGAACAATTAAATCCCGCTGAAGACATAAGTGGTGCGTATGCCATATGCTTGCGCTCCACGTGGGCGTGAATCTTACCATCTGAGAACAGTTTATCCAGGGAGAAACGGAATACGTTGGAACAGCGGTTCACAGACGAGCCTGAACATAAGTCCCCGTGAAATCTCAAGGCATTGTGCGCCTTTGCTTTTTTTAGAGGAGATAGGCCAGCAGTTCTTACCTGCCTCTGGGTAAACTGCTTTGGCCCCACGAAGAGACACAGAAGTCGCTGTAGTTCATTGGAACATACAAATGATCGAGCAGGTTTTTTTTTGGTGGCACAACAGTTAAGTCGTGCGGCAGGATTTTGGCAGGGTTTTTAACCTCATTTATTCTCTGATTTGGCTGTGATATCACGCAAGATTTTTTATTTATTTTTTTTTTAGCAGCTGTGGAGCCCAAAGAATGGGGCAGGTGTTAACTGACCACTTTGGCTGCAGAACAGTGGGATTTGGTAGTGCCGGGATGTGAAGGTCACTAAGACTGGTGTTTTCCCCAAGAGGAGCGCAGAGCTGCTTCAGCCATTGCCCTGCTTTCCGGGCCAAACGCAAAACTCGCCTCAACTTTGCCATCCCCAAAACAACAGTGTGCAGCAGCTCTTTTCCCTGTCTTTTGAATCACGGTTTTCCACCAGAGGAAGAAGAATGGAGTTGGAGCTACACGAGACACTTTAGTCTCCTTTTATTTTATTTATTGCAAGGTGCACAGGTATTACAGTGATGATCAAGGCAGAAGAACCTGAAAGAAACTTAAGTCTCTTTGATCTTCTCAGCTGTCTGGCTGTCCCAGTCTTCCTATCTCGAGCACCATGCCTGGTCCTAAATTATTGCACCGATTTTTGCCTGTTGCTTTATTTGCATAAAAAATAACAACCTTGCAATACCGCACTTGGTAGGGAGCTTGCGATTGTGTGTTTTGTTGGGCTTAGATGGTGAATCGGATATAACTAAGGGTCTCTTCCCGCCATCAAGAGTGTTGTTGTCAGACGGGTAGATTATCACGACAGTTTTGCAAGGCTAGAGGCGTTGAGCCTGGCCAGCCTGTTTCATTACTTAACCCTCAGAATGAGAGGGTTCTTCCTAATTTCAGCCTACATTTCCCCTGCGGCAGTAGCGTTTCCACCCCTGATGCTAGCTACCGGTGCAGCTGCAACAGGGAAGATTTTAGTGATGTGGTTGCCTCTAAACATGGTTTGAAATTGCATGCATTATGGCTCATGCTTGGTGATTGTTAGCAGCTAATGGCGACTCTCCCTACCCTGTGACAAGAGTCTCTCTCTTCCTAGCCTGGCTGTATTGTCCACCACGCCTTTGTCTGTTTGCACTAGGGACAGCATCTCCAACTATGCCGGCAGTGGTTCATCTAGCCCCTTGTGGTTGCACATCCTAAAATGCACTGCTCCATCTGCTGCCAGGGCTGCAGCGTCCTCTAGAGACTTGTGATTACTCCGTTGAGGCATCGTGGAGAAGCAGCCGGGATTTCCAAGGAAGCAGCACAAATATGGCTCGGGAGCATGACGGTTGCGGATGAACTGGTGCAGTTTGACACGGCTGCATCAGCTGTATCCAAGCGGGATAGAAGTGTCACAAAGCGGCTGCATGTGTCGGAGGGGATCGGAGGAAAATACTCAGCCCTTGGGTGCTGCAGCTTTCACTGACTTGCGCAGGTGGGTGAGGCCTACACCAGAGTGCTTTTGAGCACCCCACTCCTAGGATAGACGGGACTCACGCCATGTTAAACTTCACCCCTGAACTCCGCCCCCCACCGCAACCCCGGTGTTTTCAATACTGGATGTGCAGGTTTCTGCCCCGATTCTCACTGTTGTTTCTCATGGATTCTAAAAAGTCAAAGTTCTGGTGCAAGAACAGAATTTGGTCCAGATTTTCAGGGGCAAGCACCGCTCGCCGGTGCTCCAGGGCACTCTCATTGGCAGCGAAGGCCTGATCTGGCAACACGGCCGTGGCAGGGATGGCCAGGTACTGCCGGCTCATCCTCGCCACAGCGGGGAAGCGGTGCTCATTGCTCCTCCACCAGTCCAGCGGGTTGGTGCTACGTTTACACAGTGGCTCCACGATGTAGTTCTCCAGTTGCTGATGGATCTCGGGCATGCTCTCTGTTGGGTCCTTCCCCAGAAGGATGTCATACATGCTCTGGGACTGGCTGCCGGAGCCCCTGTCCTTATGAGCTGGCAGCTGGCCCCCGGCTTCTCCCCCTTCTGCCTTGTAATCTGAGTTTGGCACCCAGAACGAGGCAGGAGGTGGGGACTGGTGGTTAAACATCTGTGACAACATATTTTTGACTCTCCTGTGCAGCTCGCTGCGCAGGGTGGGGCTCAGGAACCTCATCTCCTTGAAACGCGGGTCCAAGAAGGAGGCGATGACAGCTGGGCTTTCCAGCACTGTCTCGTCCTCCGAGATGCCCCAGCGCTGCATCAGCTGCGCCCGTATGTTGCCCACCACGGTCTTGATGACGCTGTTGGACTCCTCGCACTGCTGCCCGATGGCAGCGACGATGCCGTGGATGCATGGCATCAGGGAAGAGATGGAAACGTTCTGCTCCTCGCGCAAGAAGGACGTGGCGATCTTAATCGTCCTCATGACGGGCACCAGGTCCTGCAGGAGCTTCCACTGGTGGTCAGCCAGGTTCTGAACAGCTGCCGTGCCCTTGGGGTGTTCCTCCAGCACGGACATGATGGCCCATTTGAGGTCCAGGAGGCTCTCGCACATCTCGATGGTCGTTATCCAGCGGGGCCTGGCGTCCATGACAAGCTTCAGCTTGGTCTTGTTGATGGCCTCCAACTTGCTGTTCAAGGAACAGGTGGCTTTTGCGTCCTGCTGGAAGTACCTCACGATGCCTCTGGCGGCACTCAGAGCCTCTTGTACCTGCTCCACCTCCAGCCCAGCCTGGATGCACAGGTCCAGCAAGTGGGCGGCACAGCACAGGCTTGCCCAGCCGTAGGCGCCCTGGAGTTGCTCCGAGTTGGCGGCTGTGTCGCGTAGGCTGTCGTGTATCACGCAGGACACGGCCTTGCAGGACAGCCCGAACTCGGACAGGACAGTGTAGAGCCTCTCCCCGAAATCGCTTGCCCCTTTGTTCTCGTGCACCGGCTGCGTTTCCAGGATGCATCGGGCCCAGCGCCACTCCCCATCAATGAAGCTTGCCGTGACGGTCAGGTAGGGCTGGCTGAGCTGAGAGATCCAGGACTCCACGCACAGCACGACGGAGTGAGCCGTTTGCAAGTAGTGCTCGAGATGCTGCTTCACGACGTTGTACCTGTGCCACAGCATGCTGGACAGCTGGGCCGGGGACGGGAGGGTGAAACTCGGCTCCAGGTAACCGAGGAGGAGTCCGAAGCCCTTGTCTTTCACCATGGAGAGCGGGTGGAGGTCGCGGAATATCATCTCGAGCACTAGCTCCAGAATCATGTCGGTCCTGGGTTCTAAGCAGGGTGTGGGGTGGTATAGGTTGTTTTCTGGCGTCATCTGCCTGGCCCGCTTGATCCCGTTCTCTGGTGCCGCATAGTCGGCCTCAGATGCCTGGTCATCTTTCAGCTGCGACAGCAGCGTGTCACGGATGCTGTGCTTCCGCACCAGGTGCTCCCGCATCGTGGTGGTGCTGTTGTGGAAAGACAGCTGCTTCTTGCACACGTTGCATTCCACGTAGGCATCCCCCAGCTTGGTGTAGTAGTTCCACACCTTGGATTTGCGACGGTCAACATAGAGCGCTGTGCTCGTGCCGTCGTGGCCCGCCCCTTTCTCCCTCTTCCTCCTGGAGGACGGGCCGAGGTTGGCTGCCATGTTGTACGTGTTGAACACCATGGAGATTTCCTCTGTGGGGGGAGGAGAAATGACAGAACGGACATTAATTTCACCTGAAACTAGCATGAAAGCCCCTGCCGTGTGTTGCATATATTGCGCAATTCGCGGGTGAATCGCGCAATAAACTTAGACCGGCCATGCGTGCAAAGCAAGACCGGCCACCCGTCCAAAGTAATTATCATGCAATTAACTGGTTAATCATGCAATAACTTTAGACCCGCTACACGTGCAAAGTAATTACCAAGCCATAAAAATGGCCATCCAGCTATGAAAAGAGCCAACCAGCTACATTAGCGCTTGAAAACTCATAACTTTTTAGCTGGTTTCTATCCAGCTTCCATTCGAACCAGTGGCAGGTCCCTAAGAGAAAGAAGACTCAGCTGTTTCATCTGCTCTAAGGGCACTTGTAGGCAAGCGTTCTGGCTAAGAGGCCAGTGTTATATTGCTACACACGGGTGCTAGAGCTGGTGTGGAAGCTGTCTGTTCCTGAGCTCCATGGGCAATCCCTGAAAGCAGAAATATGCTGGGCAGACCTCAGGAGGCGGTAGGATGTTGCTAAGACTTTGTAAAGCCAGCAAAAACACCCCCAGGCAGGTCACCAAGTCTGAACTGAGACAGGAGCTTGGATGCAGATGTTCAGTCACTTTGGGCAAAAGGGAAAAGTCGCTAAATCCAGGGACAAACTCCTTAGGTTGGCAGTGATGCACTGATACAAAAGTGCCTTGGCTGAAGGCGTTTTATAGATGGTTATAACCAAGCTTATGTCCGGCAGAGCTCCTTATCAGATCACAGAAACAAAGAAAATTCAGGTTGGAAGGGACCTCAGGAGGTCGCATCTAGTCCAACCCCCTGCTCCAAGCAGGACCAGCCTCAACTACATCATCCCAGCCAAGGCTTCGTCTACCTGGGTCTTCAAAACCTCCAAGGGTGGAGAGTCCACCACCTCTCTGAGGAGCATTTTCCAGTGCTTCACCACCCTCCTAGCAAGAAAGATTTTCCTAATATCCAACCTCAACTTCCCTTGCTGCAGCTTGAGCCCATTGCTCCTTGTCCTGTCGTCTGCTCCCAGCTCCATCCTCTTTGCAGCCCCCCTGCAGGGAGCTGAAGGCTGCTATTCAATCCCCCTCGGGCTTCTCTTCTGCAGACTCAGTCAGCCCAGCTCCTTCACTCTCTCCTTACCAGTCCTGTCCCCCAGCCCCACAACCATTTTCATTGCCTCCACTGGACTCTCTCCAATGTGTCCACATCCTGTCTGTAGTGGGAGGCCCAAAACTGGACACCGGACTCCAGATGTGGCCTCCCCAGTGCTGAATAGAGGGGAGGAATCACTGCCCTGGATCTGCGGGCAACGCTCCTACCACTGCAGCCCAGGATGCCGGTAGCCTTCTTGGCAACAAGGGCACCTTGTTGGCTCATGGCTAAATGAATGATTAGAGCAGCTCATCATCACTGAGAAACCCCTTATCCATGATGTATTTGCAGGTGCTGAATCAGAAGGCTGCCGCTGCGCCTGGCGTTTTAACACAGCTGAATGGGATCTTGGCAAGCTGCTCGGTTGAGAAGAGACCAAAGGCAGGCACCTACCTTGCACGATCTGGGGGTAGGATGGAGCAATGACGGGCAGAGACGGCTCCTCTATTATCTCCTCTTTGGGTTGCTGCGCGTCCCCTCCACCATCTTCTGGCTTCACGCCTTTCTGCAGGAAAGGAGGCACCCTCTTGGCGTTCACGTCTGCCATTGCGTTCTTTGGGAGCATCCCAGGAGGGAACACAAAGAGCGGCTGTTAGAAGGGTCACCCTGGGGGCCGTCCGGCACCACCAACACCCGTGCCCGGGGGGGGGGACACGATGAGATTCATGTTCCAGCCCCTGATCCTGCTCTTTTAAGGACGTTACGTCCAAGCAATAACTAACCCGCAGGCCGCGCCTGTCACCCGTGAATGTCCCAGAGCTTCGTGGAGGCAGATCAGTCCTGTCCCTGTGTGCTTCTTCCACGACAGGGCTTTTATGGGGGAGCCAGAGAAGCACTGGGCTTGGAAGAAGACCTGCTTGGATCTACTGTCTAGCACGCCGCAGCACAGGGAATTCCTGTTCCCTGCAAGCATGCGATAGCCCTCTCCATCCTGCAGCAACGGGCTGTCGGAAAAGAGCCCGAGCCAATCGAACAGTGGCACAAAGGGCTGGATGTAGCTCGGTCCGAGGGAAACCTCTTTCTTTTTCAAGCGGGATTTCCCTTGCGAGCTGAGGATAGCGGGCCTGGTTTCCAAACTGTCACGCGCCCCTTGCAAAGGGCAGAGGGGCTGTCTGCAAACCCCCCGCCCCAAAGGTGTCTCCCATCACAGATGCAAACGCCCTTTGCAAAGGCAACTGGGTTGCGTCTCCTTTCGAAGATGCTTGGCCCCATGTGCCACCGCTGGGAAACCTGACATCTGCCTGTCAAGTGACAGCGTTTCACGGGGGACCGGGGCCGCCCGCTTGGTATTTGGCGGCAGTGAGAGCTCACGCCAGAGCTCGATAGGATGGCAGGTGCTCTATTAAAACCCAAGGTCACCTCCACTGCCGGCACAAAGCAGAGAGAGCAAGGATGCATTGTCAAGGCAAGGTTCAGATTGCACCTGTCTGAGCACGCCCGGCAAAGCAGATCCTGACTCCAACCCCGCAGCCTTTCTCTCTCGCTGGGGAAATGCCTTGTCATTTCTTCCCACCCTCTGCAAGGGTGAGTCGCATCGCTTCACCCTGCCAAGTGTCCGGAAGAGGGGCCAAGGACATGGTGCAGAACAGCACAGAAGTCACGCTGTATTGCTTCAAGGAGTGGTGGAAACGACCCAGGTGGTGACGTCATGTTTAAATCCTACAGCTGATCGTACGCCGATGCCGGAGCAACAGATCCCACCCGAGAAATTATTCTGCAGCTTCATCCCCCCCCTTCCCCCCCCAAGGATTGCTGTTTCAACCTTCCCTTCTTTAAAACCCTGCAAACTTCCGACAATATGTGTGTATCTATCTATTGACAGATAGATGTGTGTGTGTGTGTGTGTGTGTGTATATGTATGTGTAAACATACATACATACATATATACATATACATACATACATATATACATATACATACATACATATATATATATATATAGAGAGGAGTGCATGGATTTGAAATGAAGTTTAGCCAGATGAAGAAGAAAACAGGCATAGGTCATCTCATACTCACTCCTTTGTTACCATGGGCATGATACGGGCTGCTGGGTTGTTTGCAGTCTCAGCTCTGTGCCGTAAAATGGGATATATCTAACCTTTCATCTGGAAGTAATTCATTTAGGGCTCCTCTCAAAAGTTCAAGCCAGGATGGAAAGGGAGCTGATCTGAAACGGAGGGAGCTCGCGAGGAGGCTGGATGCCTGTCAGAGCCCCGATGCAACGTGTGCAGCGAGTGTGTGCTTGCTGGCAGACAGGGAGGGCCGCGCCGTTTGCATTTATAACAAAGCAGAGTGCGGAGACGGTCTGATTAATCACGATCTGTTTTGTTGCTGAAGGACAAATTCTGGCTGTGGGTACTTGGTTAACAGGGCGTGCTGTTGGTTTTTTTTATAACAGTAAAGATGATTCATCATTGGAAGTGGTGGCTTCTGCATCTCCTGAAGTCTGCAGACCGAGCCGGACCGTCTTGGATCCTTTGTTGAAACGCATGGGATTGGACTCAATAAAAAGATAAAATCCTCTTGACTGGAGGTTGACTCAGTGGCGGCAGGCGACAGGACAAGGAGCAATGGTGTCACGTTGCAGCAAGGGAAGTTGAGGTTGGATGTTAAGAAAAACTTTCTCACGAGGAGGGGATAGTAAAGCACTGGAACAGGCTTGACTCGTGTTAGTAGAGAGAAGGTGACAAAATTGACCTTAAAAGCTATGCCTCTGCGAAGCCCGGGATTTGACCCTCACAAACATAGGGAATATGCAACTTGGGTTGAAATATCTAGCAGTGGAGTTTGCAGCGGCTCGGTGTGTAGAAGTTGGGATTTCTTAGGTTCCCTTAGTAGCTGCGTCTAGCTATAGCCGCTGCTTCTACATCCCTCAAATGGGGAAGCTGCTGCTGTCACGCACCGTGACATCTGGAGCCGGGCTGTTCTCAGTGGGGGCGGATGACTGAACAAGGAGCAATGGGCGCAGGCCACAGCAAGGGGAAGTTGAGGTTGGTTATTAGGAAAAACTTTCTCATAAGGAGAGTAGTAACAGGAACAGGCTACCCAGAGGGGTGGGGGGAGTCTCCGTACTTGGAGGTTTTTAAGACCTAGGTAGGCTTGTGCAGGATGATGTAGTTGGGGCTGGTTCCGCTTTGAGCAGGAGGTTGGACTAGATGTGACCTCCGGAGGTCCCTTCCAGCCCTCCTTGTCTGTGATTTTATGATCTACGGAGTGAAAAATCTACCGTGGCAGCAGAAGTATTTTAACTCAGGAAGAATGGTCGTTTGCAAAAGGCTAGAGAGGACTTGTCTTGTTACCGAGCAGCCCCTTCTCTGCAGAGGATGCGAAGCCTCCAGTGGCAGTGCTACCACTGCCCCAGCCCATATCAGAATGCCTTGTGGGTTTGACGCTGGGGACAGGTGGGAGAACCGGCTGCAGACCGGGGTCTGCTGCTGCCAAGTGTCTGCCTACCCCCCTCCTCAGGTGGGGGACTACATGCAGGTCGGTCCCCCGGGCAGCATGGAAGTGCCCCTAGAAGCATGGGTTTGATGCTGGGGCCGGTCAGGCCACGTGGGACAACTTGCCCCAGACCGTGGTCGCCTGCCAGCAAGTGCCCGCCTACCCCACCCTTAATGGTCGGGGACCACACACAGGTCGGTCCCCTAGGCAGCTCAGAAGTGTCCCCGGAAGGGAGCGGTAAGCACCAGGGAAAGCAGGATCATGCTAAACCCGATAGCGGAAGTATCTATGGAGATACACGATGGTAATGAAAGCATGATGACGCCCCTTTACAAAGCCATGGTGCGTCCGCACCTTGAACACGGCGCCCAGTTCCGGTCCCCGCACCTCCGAAAGGATAGAGAAGAACTCGAGAAGGTCCAGAAAAGGGCAACAAGGATGGTCAGTGCTACAGAGGGGCTTGCCTAGGAGGAGAAGACGGCCGAGGCCAGGCCTGGTCAGTTTAGAGAAGAGGTGCTCGAAGGGAGGCAATAAAACATTTAAATGGTAAAGAGAAAGTTGATGGGAATTTATTATCGACTTTCACCAGTCGTGTCCTGTGCAAGATTGTCGACAACAGCCATTTAGCAGCAGTTGCCGATTCGTTAGAAGCGCTTCTGCTAAGGCCGACAAGGTTCTTTGGGGGAAATCCAGTATCGTTTATTAGACCAGTTAAAATAGTTGGAAAAATGATTTGTTGCAAGCTTTCGGGTTACAAACGCCCTTCTTCAGGCTTATTCACCAGACAAAAACCGAAGGGTCACAATAGGAAACTAATAGGTAGTTGGTTTTTCCACCCAGGACGAATGAAAGGGGGGAGCTTGTGGCCACCGGGTGCAGCGGAAGTGGAGAGTTCATCCATGAAGGGATTGGACCTGTTTTTGGAGGAAAGGGTCAGTGGGAGTGTGGGGCACGGCCTCTGGATCAGAACATCCTCAACCTTCAGCAGCGCTTGTACACGTGACATAAAGTGGCCGCAAGTGGGAGAGGAACGGGGGGAAGAGCCCTGCTCAGACCCATGCTTTGGGGTTGTTGGTCTAAGGACATAGGCAGGCAAGGGTCGTGGGGAGATGTGATCTCTTTTATTATTTATTATTATATGTAGTTGGTCTAATAAAAGAGATCACATCTACCCCAATGCTCAGAGCCAGTCGCTTGCCCTTCCAGCTCCGCTGTCTGCCGCCACGGGGCGCAGGAGACCAGGCGGGACTCGCCTAGGGTCCGACCCCGTTCACGGTTGCTCGGCTGCTCTTAGATAACACTCGGTTTCCATCTTGGAAGACGCCTATCGCCCCGGCCCAGCTGAAAACTGACGAGCGCCTATAGCGAATATCTGTGGGTTATCCACGCTGAGACAAGGAGGCGTGTCGTAATATCGGCGTCTGCAGTCTCGTTAGAAGACCGGTGGACGTCCTCATTCCACGCTTTAATTGCCCTTGGAGGGGACAAGCCCACGCGTGGCCCAACTGCAGAATGACCCGGCCCCTCCTTTAGGCCGTGTCACGCGCTTGTGTGCGTGCCGGTGGCGATGGTGTTGTCATACGCTAACTGGGCACGGACGTGAGCCGGCGCTGTTTTCCGGGGGCTGTGGTTCGGGAAAAGCAACAGATGCTGCCTTATCACGTCTGCACATAACCCCCGTTAGTCCTAACGAAGGCAATTTAACGTTGGAATTTGCAAGCTGCCAGGGCTGTCCATAGGGGTTTGGTGCCTTGAGGGTATTTGCTGTTATAGGGGAAGCCCCTATAGGGACTTCCTTGCCTAGAAGCCGAATGTCCTCTCCCCTTGCTTACGGCCCTGTATAGCAGCTGTTCTGGATAGGAGCCTTGCTGTATAAGGGTAGGAGCCTAAGTCAATCCTGCCCTGTATAGGGACCCCCTATAGGGGCTTTTCCAGAGAGGAGCCCAAGGATACCCGTACTGTACAGGTGTTTAGTTCCAGCAGAGCCTAAGGATTCCCTCTTCGTGCCTGCCTCATATAGGGGCCTTTATAGGGGCTTTTCCAGACAGCCTCACTGGGTAGGGGTTTAGTTCCATAGGAGCCTAAGGATTCCCCCCCCCCCCATGCCCCATATAGGAACCCCTATGGGGGCTTTCCCAGACAGGAGCCCAAGGATACCCTCGCGGTGTAGGGGTGTAGTTCCATAGGAGCCTAAGGAGCCCCTCCTCAACCCTGCCACGTAGAGGGACCTATGGAGGGGCTTTTCCAGGCAGGGGCTCAGGGACCCCCCTACCGCTCGGGGGGCTTCGTTCCATAGGAGCCTCGGGACTTCTCCCCCAGCTCTGCCCCATATAGGGACCCTTCTAGGGGCTTTGACTCTATAGGTACCTAAGGCTCCCCTGCTGGATACAGGGGCATCCGCCCTATAGGAGCTGCTGTTGGGGCCTCCTTGGCAGTACTGCCATACTTTATCTAAACCTATATAGATACAGGGGTATATAACTATAACTATCTATCAATATAGATATCTATCTCTATGCAGATAGATATCTATCTAGATATATATATATGGATATAGATATACAATATATCTATATTGTATCTAAATATAGCTAGAGACAGTATCTATATAGATGCGTGTCATTTTATTTTGTTATTTTTTATTTTTACTCTATATAGATAATAGTAAAAATAAAAGTATAAAATAAAAATATAAAAAATATTTTTAAAATGTCGAATTGAAATGTTATAAAAATATAAAACGAAATATAGGACTTGATAAACCACGTTTAAAAATTATAATAAAGTATACATCTGTTTTAAAAAGTATACTTTATAGCTATTCCCCGCCCCCGCGCGCCTATAGCCCTGCAACCCCCCCATGGACATCACGTGACTATCTCCGGACGCGCCGACTCACTTCCGTGTCACGTGAGGGAGGAGGGGGCGGGGTTTCCCCGGGCACGTGCCGGCAACACAGCGTGCTCCCATCACGTGACTCCCCGCATCACTCCCGCCCCTTTCCCTGCTTGGTCACGTGACAAAACCTCTCTTCCCTCCCTCTTCCGCAGAGTTCGTCCCGCCCCTTCCGGGTAGTGACGTGTACGGCCCCGCCCCCTCCTGCCGGCGCTGTGTGTCGCGGC